GGGTGTCCACAGTCCGCGTACACGTAGATAAGCTGAAACGCAGCAAGCGGACGAGACCCACGTGACATTAATGGAACATAATGAACTAGATTTGGGAATGTCACCCTAAAGCTGGTCTCTTGGCCACTAGCCTTAAGATTAGACCAGCCCTCCAGCAGGAAACACTGCAAGGCCAGGACTGGCCACAAGGCATCCTAGAGAGGCCTCTCAAAGCATGAACTCGTTAGAGGTGTCTTTGCACAAGGGAGGTGTGGAGCGTCAGGCCTCCACCAGCTGCAGAAAGAGCCCTGGGGAGGAATCTCTGGGGCAGGGATGGGGGAGAGAAGGGTGCTGCACCCATCAGTACTCACGCCTCCTTGGGTCCACCCTGGCTGAGGTCGAAAACTTGCCGTGGGTTGAGATACCACATAAAAGATTGGATGATCTTGGCTCCCTGTGAGGACAAGAAAGACTTCAGCAGGGAACAGGGAGTTCCCAGTGGACAGAAGGAAGAAGGCACCTGGTCTCGAGGACAGGCCAAGACAACGGTGTTCTAGCGGGACTCAGGCAAAGCCTGGTGGGAATTGCCGGGCAGCAAACTGGCATTGCGGGGGTTGCCTTGCCTCTTCTGCAGCTGAGACTTTACCAAAACTATGCTGAGTCCTCAGCAGCCAAAAGGCAATGCCCCCAAAGAGCTGCCTTCTCAGGGAAACGTAGGACAAGGCCATACCTGATTCCCACCGCTCTTGGGGTTCACAAACACCAGCAAGGGCTTCATGAGAGGAGCTGGCATGGGCTTGATGACAAAGGGTTTCCACCTCCCTTCCTGCAAGAGACACTGCAGGTCCTTCAACAAGCCCGGGGAAACGCGAACTCCCACCTCCAGCTGAGCCCTAACATCACACATGATCAGGAGCAGGAGGAAGAGAACATCCCAGCCACCCCATAAGCCTTATAACTGGGATTTGCCCTGCCAGTAGGCACCCTCCCTCCACCTCACCCTCCTTAACCTCAGCGCAGACCCTGCAAAGCCCCCTTGTTTCCCAGTCCAGCTCCTCACTACCCAATCCCTCCACCCTTCCAAGACAAGGTCATTCCCTGTCCCCTCATCTCTTACCTCGGCCCCCTTTTTGCTGGATTTCCGCTTGAACGATGTCCTCTTCTTCTTCTTACTAGATTTCAGTGGATTCTAGAGAGAAAAGAAACAAACCCAAAAACTCCGTGAGGAGCTGCTGTGCAAGCAGGAGCTGTGAAAGAGCCACAAGAACCGAGGTGAGTTACCTGGGGCCGTCGGACCCGCAGAATCCAGGTGGGAGGAACGACGACAGCAGCGTGAGCCCCCAGCGAGCAGGGCTCTTCGATGTGTTGCAGCATGAAACATGACACTTTGCTGTGATACTGGGGAAGGAGAAGAGGAGGGACAGAGAGAAAACTCAGCTGCTCAGTTTGCTGGGGACAACCACCTCCTCCTCCTCCTCCCAGCTCCCCCACGCCAGTGCAGGGAGTGCTAGAGGAAATCATGCAGGAATTTTGTAATGGGAAGGCAATGAGGAGAAAGTTTCTCGTAGGAGCTCCCAGCTACCACAGTACAGCCTCTCCCAGTAAGAGGAGCTGTAAGGGCAAGGCTGCAGACAAGCAGCTTGGGGGAGACCAGCAGAAAGCAGAGGTCATTAGATGCAGAGCAGGCTGGTAAGACGTTCAATGGGGGCTTTGCTCACCGCTTGCTTGCACCAGGAACAGCTGATGGCTACAATCTCTTTACTGTGGAAGGCAAACTTCTGCTGGAAACCCTGTAGAGGGAAGGATAAGAGGCTTAGGGAATTCCCTCGCAGCTTTCCAATCCAACAGGACTTTCCCACCACCAAGAGAGACGTTAACAAAGAGAGTTAACCTCCCCCCGCTGCCCAACCACCACTACGGCACCAGGGAGGCCACTGCGCTCTGCAGGGATGTCCCTATTGCCCAAGGAAAGCATGTCAGGAAAACAGTCCCCTCCAGGATTGATTGGGCCCAGGGGAAGAACAACTCTGTGTGGGAAGCACTTAAGTAGTGCTTCACTGTGCAAAACAGGGCACGTGTCTTGGTGTTGCTGTAGGCTGCTGCCACCAAACAGGAATGGTGGGATGTCCCTGGTCCCCAGCCCTGTTCTTGTCTCTGGTTTGACCTTAGCTTTCCTTCAGGCTGAGTGAAAAAACAGGGCGATCTCTCACCTTGCCACACTGCCGACATTTCCCTTCCTGCCGCCTCCGGTGTACCCAGTGATGCCGGACAACTATGGGCTAAAGGGAAAAGAAAAAAAAGAGGGGGAAAAAAAAAGGGAGTGAAAGGCCCTGCATGTGAGGGAATGCAGGCACAGGCAAGAGGAATGGACCCAGGCCAGACAGGATTTCTGCTCTTGCAGCAAACCCACTGCTCACGGGCACCAACCCCAACCCTCTGGGAGAAGGCAAAGCCAAAGAATCAGGGCGCAAGAAGCCAAATTAAGGTGCTCAGACAAGAGGGAATTAAAACCAGAAAAACTGGGAAGGAAGCAAGGGAAACTGAAGACTGAGAATCACACAAAGCCAACCCAATGGAGAGTGGGCAAGCAGTAGTGTGGAGCACTACTTTGGTCATAAATCATATTTCCATCTCTTAACGTCTCTGACCAGATGCCCCCAACGCCAGGTGAAAAACATGCCGGCGGGAGGAGTGAAAACCCCCAGGGAGACACAGTTTGCACCCACGGCAAGAAGATGGAATTGCTCGCAGCTAAGCAGCGAACTGCCTAGCTCCACGTTCCTTGAGGAGAGGAGCAGCCCCAAAGCCCCCCACACCCACTTCACCCTACTCTTCGCCCCAGGGCAAGTCCTGCCTCAGCCCCTGCCCGCAGGGAGGGGAGCAAGGCTGCTCGCAGGCACCTCCTCTCTGTCTGCAGGCACACGGTGGGTGAGGGCTGGGACTTGCAGGAGCGATTGTGGAGGCAGGGAAACGCGAGAGTGGGATCTCTGAGCGTTGGGGGGAGAGAAGCTTGGCAATGAAGTACACATTTCCCATATCCCTCCTGCCTCTTCCAGCCCTGGATTGGGAATGGCACTGTGGGGAGGGCAGCAGAGAGGGAAGAGGGAGTGCGAGTTCACATCCCATGAGGTAGGGCCCAACACCCTCCTCTTGACAGCTTTTGGGATCATGATGATGATAGAGGCAGAACCTGGCGGATTTGGGTCAGCTCCAGTGTCATCTGCTCTGAGTGCAGCACATGGGAGAGGACGAAGAGTCCTGCTGTTGGTTTTATTGGACATTAATCCAGCAGCAGAAGGGGGGCTATGTCCTGAGGTCAGCTCTGCGTCCCACCAGGCACAT